ATATATTTATATATATATATATATATATATATATATCTCTAGCGCGCTCTCTCACTCTCATTTATTTTTTTTTTTTTATATATATATATATATATATATATATATATATATATATATATATATATATATATATTTGTTTATTTATTTAAATACTATTTTGGTCATTTAAATTCAAAGTATTAGTTTTGTTTATTTTTTTTTAATTCAGCATGTTTTTTTTTTCTATATAGCATTAACTTTGCAGAACCTCTCTTTATATTGTGGAATTTTCTAGTAATTTCTAAGTGAAAGTTATTTTAAAGTAAATTCTATCATTGTTTTTTCAGTATAAATGTTCATTGGTAGAAAAAAAACTAATTAGAAGTGCACTGTAAATTAATAAAACAAAAAGTCATGACAGAAGCAACAAGTAGCACAATATTATCATGCAAAATCTGCAATAATTTTACTTGCAACTTTTTTCACAGTCACAATCAAACTCATTTAATATTATTTTATGTTATCATGTTCAATCTCTCTCTGTCAGCGTGTTGAATCTCTGGAGATCAGGCGGAGCTGTGTTGCGTAATATTCTCCAGACATGATCATCTGAATATGATTTATGACACAGTCTGAGCGCCGCTGAACATTTATGACGTGATTAAACATTTACGAGCACTGTAACACATGGTAAAGGTGAAGCGGAACTCCATCAAAACATGCTGATTTCTGCATAATCTGACAGCAGTAACGCAGTCATGCACTGTAAAAATACATGTCAATTAGCAGATTTCTTTATTTTGTGATCATGTTTTTATTTCTGAATTGCATTATGGGATCTTGATGTTTTCTTCAATAATTTTTAACCTTGAAAATTGTGAAAGTGATTTTCTGATCATTTTTAACAGTGTGCAGTGCTATGTCGTCTGTGTTGGTGTTGTATATTATGCTACAGAAACCTTATAATAAACTGCAGCACATTTCCTGTTATTTTACACATTTATTTCTCTGGATATTATTTCTCATACATTATATTATATTTTATAATGACTAAAATGTCAACAAAATTCACTTTGTTAAACTGTAAAGATTTTCAACATCAGCAGTAGACAGAGCAGAGATCAACATCCCATAATGAAAAAGTGTTACGCCTTTAAACGTCCCTTTATGCTGAATACTAGTGAGGAATATCTAGTCAAATATGATGTGCTTTCATCATGACAAAGACTAAATTAATTAGCTATCAGAGATGATGTACATAAACGATCATGTTTAAATGTGTATAAGTCTTCAGCTTTAATATGGAGATGAATGTGGACTTAACGAATGTAAAAAGACACTTTCACAACTTTCTCAAGTGTGTCAAACGTCACATGGACGACGGCTTTATGCAATGATTCAGATTTCAGCAGATTCACAGAGCAGAAATCATCATAACCCTCCCCGTCTGTGCATAATCCATATTTCTAGCATTGTTAACATTGAGGTGAAAGTTACTGAACATGTCAAATTTAATCTAAATAAAAGTGCATCATTTACATGAATATTATTATAACTCTGAATGCTTGGATCCAATATGAAAATAATTAATAGTGACACTTTATGAATCATTCTATTGTAAAGTACTTGAATTCATCTGTTGTGGTGATTATACAGTTGCTATGGTAACACAGCAACTATAGTAATTGATCTGCTGTGGTGATTCTACTGTTGCTACAGTAACACAGCAACTATAGTAATTAATCTGTTGCTGTGATTCTACAGTTGCTACTGTAACACTGTAACATAGTAACTGATCTGTTGTGGTGATTCTACAGTTGTTACGAACCGAAGGAAAATGAAAATAAATTCTAGTATTAAATGTATATATGATGAAGTATAGTAATTACAAATGAATTTTAAATA